ATGAATTGAAAGTTAATTCTCCTTTAAGAAAAGTATGTAATAAATCATGCCAGTACTGAAGCAATGACTACTGAACTGATAATAGTCTCGCGGTCTAGAAGTGATCAAGTAACGGTATCGACCCAGTGCAGTAAACATAAGATCTTTATCATCTGGTGCCTCCATGCATTTTTCTGGGTTTACTTTCATCAAGAACAGTCAAACACAAAACAAAAATAAATGCCTAAGAGAGGTATAAAAAATTGAAAACTGCAAGAAACATTTGCCTACGAAGGACATAAAAGAACAGAATAAAAGAAATTCACATAAAAAGTAAAATAACAAAATACCGAACTCCAAGAAAAAATTCAAAACGGAAAGTCCCTTAAGAAATGGCAAAATCAAAACGAATGGAAAACAATTGTCATATTCCTGACTTGGTACAGGCATATCCTTATGTCGAAAATGGTGGATTAAAACTGATTTTATAGCTAGCTAAACCTCTCACTTGTATGACAGTCGCATAGAATTCAATTATATTGACAACAATGTGTGAGTAAAACAAACAGACATAATAGGTAAAAATGTCAAATATTGTAATGGGATACAGCAGTCAAAAGTGAATCAATAAAAATACCGAACTCCAAGGAAAATTCAAAACGGAAAGTCCCTTAACAATTGGCAAAATCAAAAGCTCAAACACATCAAACGAACGGAAAACACTGTCATATTCCTGACTTGGTACAGGCATTTTTTTATGTAGAAAATGGTGGATTAAACCTGGTTTTAAAGCTAGCTAAACCTCTCATGTGTATGACAGTCGCATGAAATTCTATTATATTGACAACAATGTTTGAACAAAAAAAACAAACATAATAGGTAAAAATGTCAGAAATAGAGGTACATGTTTTATGTGTTATAATCTCAATCACTATAAAGACAAACAAATATGTCAACAAAGAAAAACAAAATTGTGTTAAGATCAAGCATGTCTGAAGGAGGCTGAAGCTTAATTTAAAAAAAAATATTACATATATTAATTTAGAATTTCAGAAATGCATGTCAGTTTGCTTACACTATAAATTGCAAGATTCACAATGCACTAAAAACGTACTTATTGATTCTAGAAATAAGAGAATGTGATTTTTAAAAACTGAAAACTAAGCTCGACATTTTTTTACTCTTAGTAGGTTACATAAGATATACTAAATTAATTATGGTATTTTGTTTTACTGATTTTAATACCAATTCATCGTATTGTTTGTATCTTTTATTGTCTCATAGTTGAATTTTATATATTAACCATGTGTATACCAGTTTTAATCCATTAGCTGTTTTAAATTAGATTTGATCCCAGTTGTAAAATACAATTTTACTGCGAATTTCCCTCATTTTGTTACTGTTTTACTTGGATAGAAAGACATATTTTACTAATTTTGAAATAGTAGATTAAATCTATGAGAACTATATATTTTATTTTATTTTTGATATTTTCTAGCCTTTTCATGGAAACGCCTTCTGATTTTGTTCGGACTATTCTGACTTTTTGGGCCCGTCGACTAGTCGGTGGCACTGTAGTAATCACTCTGTCTGTCCCTCTGTCTGCCCGTCATCTCGTCTATGTCGTATGCTTAGTCAAGATTGCCTTAACCGATTTCGATAATATTTATGTTCAGTATAAATAACAACAAAAGGAAGGTGTTTTTTTTTTATTTGGAGATCTGAACAAAATGTAGTCAAAACTTAAAAAAAAACAACATAAATTTTGAAATATATATTTTTGTGCTAGAATTTCATCAAATTTGATATGCAAGTCAGATTTTATTTCAAATGTAAAAATCTAGATTTTTGTAATACAATGTATTGGGAGAATTGGCCTTAATTTTTTTATCATTTGTTAGAAATTCTCAATTTTTTAAAAACTTCTTTGTGTGCAAGGATTTTAGCACAAATTGATACATAAGTATTCTCTGCTATTCAGAATTGTTTCTTGGTGTCAAATATGGGATAAGGGCTTACAATTGTGTTGACATTCAAACATTATGAGAAACATCTCTTTTCGGAAGAATTTCAGAATATTGAAATATGTGTATAATTAGCAGTTCCAAATTGATTGCAGGTGCCAACAATTAAACGAAATTGTGGAATAAACTTATTTTTGGTGAAATATATCACAAATTTTGAAAATACTTAAATAACACTTTATAAATTAAGTGCGTCCGAAGAACTTTTCTGGATTGATCTTTATTCGATCAAATTAAAATATAAAAGGCAAGTATGTGAAAGACGTAGAAACTTTGACGCTTTATGTCCAAAAGGGACATACAAAAATAGCTAAAATCAAATAGGGTCAACTTTGCATGAGGCAGTTGGAACCTTAGAACTCTGAAAGAAAATGTTGAAACTTGTATTTATAATTACATTTTTGTAAATTACAGTTTATTTGTTTTCTTTTTGTTGTCCCGGCGTGGGTTGTTTGAGTCAGTGTTTTGTTTATAATTTTTTTACCAGTAATATTAATATTGTAGTGCTCCCAACATGTGTTATGTCTTGTACTATATTTATCCTTACGAAATGTAGACAATGGGAAGTGACCTAATTACATATAGGGCAAGTGTTGGGCTACACTATGTTAGGTCTACTCGACTGTCTCACTCGATCAACTTAGGCCGTGTTCACACTGATCTAAACTCGGTGTGGTGCAAGTGTACTCTATTAAACTGTATTACGTTCCCATTAGTAAAAATCATTGTTTACATGTAGTTGAAAAATAGATTTTCACTACACACAGTCGATAGTCAATGAAGACCCTGTGTGGGTTAAGTGTTCATAAAACTAGATATCAAGAACGTGGATTTTATTGTGAATATTCAAGGAAGTTATATATATTGAATAAAAATTATTACAATGATAATATGAGATCACATGAAACTAATTGTAAACAGGTTTACAGTACGCAATGTTTGGTGTGAAAACGGCCTTAGATACCGTTTTATTAGTTAATCTGCTTTTTCAAATTGGCACAAAGGCCTTTACAATATTTTCATACTTTCAATTACAAACAAATTCTGAAAATCGAAGTTGTTCTACATGTTTTCTCTCAGGTTTGCATTCGTATGTAATAAGCACCAGGAGGTTTTTAGAAAAAAAAATACAATTCCTTTGTTAGGTAGAAATGAATATATTGATGACACTTGCCTAGTGATTTGTCAACTATCTTTATATCTATTTCTAATTATTCATACGGCAGGTGATATCGAACTAAATCCAGGCCCAACGCTCGACTTACCAGAAAATTGCTTGCATAATGATAGTTCAACTGATTGATATGTTGGATTTGTATCGTTATAAAGATCTTTTGACTTTTTCATGCTTAAACATACAAAGTCTTCTCCCTAAAAAATCAATATTTGAAGCTGAGCTTGGTGACAGGGACCTTATCTTACTTACCGAAACATAGCTTAAGTCTAATTTTAAGACTCCGTATCGAAAGAATCGGGATGGAGACAGAATAAGTGATGGGGTCCTAGTTTATGTAAAAGAAAATACACCAAGTGAACGACGTCATGATCTTGAAATACAACATCTTTAGTGTCTTTGGATAGAATTTAACTAAAATAAAATGTAAATGTCTGTTTGGAGTATTTTACAGACCTCCTTATTCTAATGCGCAATATTGGGATAACATAAATTTGTTCATAGAAAATGCTTTCAATTCGGGTATTTATAAAATAATAGTAACGGGCGTTTTCAACGAAAATCTTTTGAATTTTCGTAACACAAGACTTGCAAATATTATCTTGCAAAACATATAGGAAAAATCTGACGAAAAAAACCCAAAACAAAACTATTTATTAAGCAGTTATTTCCCTTTTTCTTTTGACAGGGAGACGAATTAATATAAGGAAAACCTTGTTTCCGAATCCCTTTGTATTTATATATTACTGCATTTAAATGAATATTTCATGTACATGATTTTTCGAAATACAATATGTTTAAAATAACCTTTGTTTTAAATTTTTTCTTCATTTGTCAACAGTGATCTTTAGAAAAGTATGTTATAAATCTTGTCAGTACTGAATTCGAAACATCTTTTTATGCCAGGATTTCATCGCAAAGTTATACGATAGTACACTATGCATAGGTATTATGTACATTTCAAATTGATACACGGTGTCACAATTGTGGTAGAAATTAGATTTTGTAAATAAAAAGAATCATTTTTTTTGCTAGGTTTTCAATGACACTTTATGCATAGGTATGATTAGCCATTCGAAATTGATTTCCTGTATCAAAATTAATGGTTTCTCACCATTTAAGAAATAGCCGCCAAAATATACAAGGCTTAAATTGTAACAAAACGTTATGTTTATCAAGAACACATCCTAAAATAACTATAATTGTTATCAATATTATAACTTGCATCATCATCATAAGGTGGTCTTTCCACCTTACCGTGGAAGACCTTTTTATTTTGTACTATTAATATTTCCCTCTTCCGCAACTTTTAAATTGTATATCAGTTTCGCAAGATGTCAATCAAATATTTTGGTAAATAATATGGAACAATTTTTGCGCTTTGAAAACGTATTAGTAACAGATATGAAACAATGTTTTTTATATTGTTTGTTACATACTTAGGATGTCGCAATAATTTGCTACCCTTTTTTTGAGATTTTTTTTCTTCTGTATTTTAACTAAGCAATATTTAAGTGTAACTCATAAACAAAATGTGATAGAAACCTAGGGTCGTCCGGTAAGAAGACCGTAACATATATTTGCAAACGTGTATTCAAAATTTTTAGTTTCGACATGTATAATGTAAAAATGATACGGTGTCATTTTATAGTTTTATGTGTATATGAAAATATGCTAAATATTCAACTTTCATTTAGGAGTCTCTGTGAGAAATTCACCTAAATTACTCGCCAAATTTAAGAAATTCCCTTTAATAAAGGTCCTCAGCTGGAGTACCAGAATCCGAAATTTTTCTAAAAGTTTCATTTACGTTTTTGATTTCATGTACATCCAACAGCAAAGACAAAACTTACAGAAAAGAACAGTAAGTAGATCAAGAATTATTAAGATGCATATTAACTGTAAAATATTTGTTCTATTGTAATCTTAATACAAAATCTGTAAGAGCGTTTATCGATAATTTGGTTCATTCCATATTGATTATCCTTCATGATTCAAATGAGATGGTGAGTATAAAACAGAGTCAACAACCCAACGAAAATAAATAAACAAGACGGACAGAGGGTAATAAACAAAAGGTTTTCATTAATTGATAGATGCTCATCCCTGGTGGAAAGGTATATACCATTCCGAGTCTATTAGGATTATAAATAAATTAATCAGAAATAATCAAAGATCGGTCACATTCTTAAAATGACAACAAAAAATATTAACATTTAACAAAAGCCTACCCCTGACGAGTCTCTCAACTTTTGAAAGGAAGATGTTATGTTCCTTTGAAAATAAATATAAGTATGAAAGCATTTGAACTTGAATAACAATAACAGAATGTATAGAATTGAACACATGATTAGTAACATACAGTGATAATTATATTTTGCCTGTTTTTGATGACAACTCATGATAAAATTCCCTAAAAGAATTACTGGAACCAGGTTTGTACACCTGTTTCTGTTATAATTTTTCTGTTTAAGCTCAGGTTCGAAAGATCAAAACTATTTGCTTTCAGAACATAAGAAACTAACTACAACAAGTATTGCCTTAAACATAATTGTAAAATTCCTCTCACGGTGTCACAAGAGACAAGAGATACCAAAGTAAAACATAAAAGGTTACATGTATGTCAACACGAACTGTACTACAAATCATTAAAAATAATGTAATTGCTTAAGTATTATCAAAAGATGTCATTTATTATAAGAAATAATTATGTGTTCGACCATTTAGAAGAAGGCAAACACGTGGAGTTGGACTTGTTTGATAACAAGGTGAGGCCTCAAAAATAAAATTCTTCCTGGGCATTTCTAATTGGTTTCTTTAATTTATAAGATAGTGAAGAAAAAACAGAGTGGATGATGAATCTCAGTATATCTGTAGCCATTTTTTCATTGGTGGTGGTTGTTATTGTTTCAGTTTCAAAATGGTAGGTGAGAATATGTTCTGTACAAGTACTAACTGCAATTATTCGATTAATTCAGAGTGGAACGAACATAAAGTCGATTCAAGTTTTTATACTAAAAGACTTGTCAACCAAATATATATGTAACTTTCTGGTTTGATCATTTCTAAATAATATTTCATTGACAAAACACACGGATAATGACTTGTACTGATATAGATAAAGTCGTCTGATGTGTAATTTTACTGATTGTGATATTTTGACTGATTGTCTATTTGTTTGGCGTATGATGCATACATAGTAGGAGACCCCAACCCTGTCGATACACCCGGTTTTGCTCCGTTTGTAGATTGTGTGATTCCCTCATATTTTTTTTATGTAAACTTGATTTGTCTCTTCCTTATCAAAAGGGAGTGATACCGGGTTCGTCGACAGTTAAAGTGTCTTCTATTATGCATGAATTCTCGTGATCGTATAGGATATAATGTGCTGTGTTAACATGAAGTAGAAAACAACTTCCAGTAAAAATGTCACAATATGGAAATAGGACAATCACGCATAATTAATTTACATATTGAACAATTTTTCTAGTATCTAAAGGTTTTACCATGCAAAACCATCGTGGTAGTGCGTTGCAACACAGATACAGTGTACCGTTTAACCCATTTGTAGTGGTGCTTGAAAAAGTAAGGCAGTGTCAATTTCAGTCTTTTTTCCTCTAAACTTCGCTGGCTCAATTTCTATACCCCTGTCTTCAAGAGGAGGTATAAAGTGATGCACATGTTTGTCCGTCCGCCAGTTGGTTAGGACGTCCGTCACAAGTTTGGTTTCCAGAAGACAATTAATGAATTGCTTCACCAAATATTTTGACATTTTAACATGGACAATAAGCTACTTGCAAATTTTCATTTAGATGGTCATGACACTTACTGTTTACGAGTTATGTCCCTTAGTTACCTGAACACGGGTGTTTCTTTGGTTTCCGAAATAAAGTACCACTTAACAAATGTTTTGTAATATGACCACAATGTAATGGAATATAAAATACAGGTCATGTTTGACTTTTATGGTTTTCACATTTACAGTTCAAGAGTTATGACCCTAGTTACTTTCAAAATTGGTATATCTTTGGTTTCCTGATGATAATAAGAGTACAGCTCGACGAAATATTTTGGATTTGTAAAAAATATTATGGATAAAAAAATAGAGGTTAAGTTCTATTTTGATGATGTTAACATTTACCACTAAATTGTTACCTTAATATTTTCTGTGGTTTCCGTGTGGTTTCCAGGTGGTGTATATAGAGTTCCGTTTATACAAATCTCCATAGATATCAACAATTGATATGACACATTAAATACAGGTCAATTTCAATTTGAATGTTGGTTCTGGCATTTACCGTTAGAAAGTTGTAACTTACAATTATTCATGTCATACTGCTTGTGTTCCTCAGTTGTGTCAGCAAAAACACATACAACCGTAAAATGATACCAAGATTTGTTGTTGATCTATTTTATGAATATTGCTTAAAAAATTAATTGAAAAACAACTTGATTATTATTTTGGCAGTTGCAGAAAAATACTGGAAAACAAAAAAAGTGCAATTAAAGAAAGAATTACAGAAAGTAAGTCTTTATTATTATTCCAATAAGGAAGCAAATATAGGTCACAATTGGAAAACATATTAGTATATAAGTGTACATTTTAAGTTTATAAAAATATGATGAATGTAAATTAAACAGTTCGAAGAAAAATGATAAATAATTTACTATTGTTAATAGATTCTTACATATATTTTAAACACTACACTTTCTTCTTTCATGGAACGTTTCTGATGAAGGTAAATCCAGAAAGCACTTAGGAATCATACAATGTATAAAGTTTTCTTTACCCTGCAGTATTAGTGATTGTATCATAAGCGTATAAAACTGATGGAAGTGTCCCTTTAGTGTTTATTCCATCATTATGTATCCTAAAAAACAACTTCGTCTTGAGATAAATTACCAAACAAAAAGCCCATTTTGGAGAATTAAAATTCAAATGAATGCAAGTAAACAGAACATGAAAAACCGTCTAAAGCAAACTTGGAACCTCAGTATTAGTATTTAAATCTTGAGTAGCTTTATCATAAATAAGTTTATCATGCCAGGACCAGAGCACTTTCTCCTGGTTCTGATGCATTTTTGATATAATAAAGTTGAATTAATGATCTAATTTCTAGAAATCATCTCTCCTACGAAAAAAAAAAAAGAGGACACCACCAACTTTGAAAAAAAATAACTTGTATGTAACACAGTTTTGAAATCCTAGTACAATGTATCCATGAACTGTGTAAAGGTACACAAACATACCGGAAAGAAGGTTCAGAATTTAAATGAATTGACCTCCACGTGTCAAGATACAAGATTCGATTTTATAAATTGTGCCTGGAAAAGATGTCTTGGTCCATTTCTGTTTTCTTACGCATGTCTTTTTCAGCGCTTATTTAATCATATACCCGTGGGAAGAACACAGCTATTTCGATTCAAATATTTGTATTGATCGTACTTCAGCAAAAAGTAAACAATTTTATAGTGTTTTGTCAGGAAAGCTTTTTTAAATTTGATTGAAACTTATTAAATGTTTTAAGTGATTTCGATAGTAAATATACTTTGATATTTTCCGGTAAATTATCTAGAGATGTCAATTATAACAAAAGTAAGCACTTCAGTTCTCGCTTTGAAATAGTAAAACATCAATTCACCTTGCATGAAAATTAAACGATTACATGTATTACAATCCTTCCTCCATTGATACATTCATGTTGCATCTTCAAAGGAGTAGAAATAATAGAATTCAATAAAAAAAATTGAATTTTTTTTTCATGACCGTGGACATTTTCCCTTCATTTTCTGGCGATTATTGTTAAAATTACCAATGACATTTTCAAAAACAACGACAAGTAGAAACGTATCAATCTAGTTAGGTTGAGATGTGTTCACCTACCCATGTGCATATATTCTAAATAAAAATCAACCAATCTTTTCTTTTACTACTAGATATTATGAAATTGTGCTTAGCTGAGAAGTAGCAAATGCTTATTTAAATTTTTTTGTGTGAACTAGACGATCTTGAGACTAGATATATTACTCATGATGTCTCATACTCGGGACAAGCAGTGGGAAACTTTATGATAAAAGATGATAAAATCGACAAAATCAATAGTTTGTTTACGCCGGTACATATGCTGATTAAAAGTTATCTATCAACCACAATCGTACATTTCTAAGAAAAAATATATCAAACTATGTTATTTGAAGTACGCATGCTAACATATATCATCTTATTGTCATTATTCATCAAGTTAAATGCAGAAGAAGCTTGTTACACTAAAAATGTTTACATTTTTTAAATTGTGAATCTATGGTTCGTAAAGATAAAAAAAAAAAGAAGTATCATTAACATATAAAATCTAGATTCTTATCAGTCATCGAGTTTCAGAGTATTCCAAATATTCTTAAGCATGATATACTTTCCAAATATATACATTATTTACACAACTAAGTTTATTAGCACATGTGTCTGCATTTTCACGAAAGCTTTCAGTATAAAAAAATATATTCTTTGTCCGAATACAACGATTTAAGAATTATGTTTGTTAAGGTTAAAACAGAAAGAAAACTTATTTTACAAATAACAATTTTTGTTTATTTACAAAAGAGGAGCACAAACATATCACACTATATCTAGCAATGACAGACTTTTTACGTGCAAATCATCTATCGTCGTTGTAAATCAAGTATTCATTGATATATGTCTCCTTCAAATGAATTAAAACTAATTCATTTTTTAGTTACTGTACGTGTAATGTGTAATAGGATAATTCATAAATAATGATTATTTGACTTCTCTACCCGAAATACGTATTGTAAGCTAATACCGCATTTTTAATCGCCGATTAATTTTTTTTATCGTAAGTTTGAAGTCAAATTTGTTGAAGTATATATAGTAGTTTGATAAATGTCGAGATATAAGTTTCAATTTGTATGGCTATCTACTTGTCATTGCATATATTTTCGAAAATTGAAATCATACTTCTTTTCAGAACGCCAGAAAATTTCACACGAAAGAAAAACTAACCTCTATGGTACAAATGGAAGACAAAAAATCGCCAATGATGATGAAAAGTATGAATTCGATAGTGACAACTACGCCGAAGACCCGTATGCAATGATCCGGGACTCTCAAATTCTTCCTGAAACATCTCTTGTTAGTAACGACCAGAATGCAAACTTTTCACTTGTAAGTAACCATCTGGATGCAAACTTTTACACAAGTGGTTACAATCATCTAAATTTGATGGGGATATCCTACAAACATGGAAATCAACACGACAAGAGGCGTAGTTATTCGCGAGATGTCAATGGAACCAAATTTCAAACTTTCCAAGACATGGAATAATGTATATTTATGTAAAATATTGATATTTTACTTTTTTCTAACGGTATATATATATTAATCCTTGATATTAACTGCAATAATATTTATTCTGTCAAACCTTTGCAATGACAATGGTTTACAGACACCACATTACATAATATGAACATATTACTCTTGTCGATTTCGAATCATTATCGGTTTTAATCAAGATTGTCTTTTATAAATAAATACATGCTTACTCTATCGGGGCACAAAATATCCTCTTAAGTTTTGAGAGTTTTCTACGCTGACTGTATTTATTTGTTTTTATTCGTTGTTGCTATATTTCTGGGTTTCTTTTTGTTATTATTCGAACACCTGTATTGGTACTGCATGTTTGCTACTTTGAATTTGGCTTTTGGGATTTCAATTTTGGCTGCTTCACATTTGACCTAATTGGTTTGGTTTTGTATCATCGTCTACCTTTTTCATGTTTTAACTATACATCCATTTACTGCTATACAGATAGCCAAAAGAATAATTAATAGAAGAATTTGTTTATTTTGAAAAAAGTGTACATGACTAACACCATCAGTGGTGCTGAACTATTTCAAAAAGCTGGGGCCAAACATGATATATTATCTAAGGTGATCACACAATGGGAAATATATTCTTATTGCCTATGCTAGGACAAACAAACCCAAATACCATAGTACGCCACAAAGTACTCAGATTAAAAGGTAAAGGATAATAATTTAGTGTTTTCTTAAAATGTAAAACCGATGACCAGTTGCTGTTTGGCAATTAAATTTGGTGTAAGTGTTGCATGAATTAGAAAATGAATAATCAGGGAAGAATAAAATGCCAATAACATAGTTTCGAATATATTTTTGTTCTTTAATATCAAAACTGAGCATGAACATGCAAAATATCATTGATGTCATAAAAGTGCTATTTAAAAACGTTCTATTGATTTTTGTTAATTGTTCAAATTAAGAAGGAAGTAAAAATAGAATGAAAAAAAATAAGAATTACAAATGTATGTCAATTGAACTTGCATGGTCAAGTTTTGTGTACTATAATGCATTTTGAAAATTAATTCATATTTTAATAAAAAAAAAATACTAATTATATATAGAAACGTGTAAACGTTTTAAAATCAAACATGATAGAAGGGGACTCATGAAAATATTTCAGTGCACATGACAGTATTTTTTTACTTCAATGTTCTTGAATTCCTTAATCGGGTATTCTAAAAACTGTGGTTACTACAACATGAACAGTAAAACATTATGAAATACGCACTGACCTTTTGATTGGAAAATATATAGTTTAGCATGAAGTGATCCAAAATAATTTTCGTCTCGCTCCGCTCTCCAGTGTTTATTCACTTTTAAGGAATTACGCCTCTTTCAAAAATCCTGGATAAACCACTGTGTCTTCGAGAAGTCAATGTAGAAGTCAAAAGCTTTAGAAAAGTTATTCTCCTGTTATACGTGTATATCTACACCAGACACAGGTGAAGTTGTTACTCAGAAAAGCAGGCAATGAAAATTAAACATTTGATCATCAACTTCTAGATCAAGTGTGTATTACAATTTTGTGGTCAAACCACTGTATGAAACAAAAATATGTATCCGGCTACATTTTTATGAATGGTATCCTTGATAAAAAAAAACTTGTGGTATCATATCTCGAATAATTGTTGAAAAGTCATTTAATTGCAACTTTTTAGGTTCTGATTTGACCCTATTGTGAAAAAGTTTAAGGTCCTCCGATTATTAAATCCCAGTTTAAATTACTGAATTGTTAATATCAATTAAACCAGCCAAGTACAAATTGAACGTAATTTGGTAAATGCGTTTCACCTTATATAATAGAGTTCTTTCTAGAACAAAAATGGGTTTATGAAAAGGCTGTCACAGCAATATTATTCTCCAATGATATCATGAATGGAATAACAAATGATTACTTCATTATACATATTTGTACAAATAAACAAACAGTTTTTTTTTGTTTTACTTATAATGGGTTTATGACAGCAATAACAGCGCTGTTCCTTTGCTTATTGTGTGTCTTTGTTTTGCTGTGCATGTACTGATTTTGTGTCATGGATGGATACCGCATATCTTTTTTTTCTTCTATTTTATAATATACTTTTAATAACTAATATGTTTGTAAATATTTACAATAATTATACCTTTTACATAATGTACATTCTTTAATTTCTTATTAATAAAACATTTCATTTTACCTTGTTCTAAGACCAGTTGAGCTCAAGTCATCATTTTTCTTCCGTCGTTTGATCATTGTAAAGTCGAAAGCAGAAGTATCCTTTGTATTTTTGACTTTGGTACAAGGACTGTTTTCACGAAGACAAACTTACAAAAATTGATAGTAAAGTATACCAATCTGTTAAGAACTGTGATCTTGAAAATTGGTTATGATGCAGAATGAGACGAAAAGGAAGATATTTCTACAGATGATTATATGAATATGAATAGTTTCCTATCATAAACCGATTTACATACAGGCCAAAAGAACAAACTATTTCGAAAACCCGAAGCCAATCTGGATATATTATGTAAGGTGATTACATCATGGGTAATGTATTCTAATTGCATATGCTAACACAAATAAACCAAGTATTATAGCATGCCAAGTAATTTTTAAATGAAAAGGTAAAGGATAATAATTTAGTGTCTTTCGTTTCGCAAAATGTAAGACAGATGACCATTTGCTGTTTGGCCGTTAAATTTGGTGTAAGTGTTGCATGAATTTGGAAAGTAAATAATCAGGAAAGAACAAATGCCAATTACAGAGTTTCGAATATACTTTAGTTTTTTAACATCAAAATTTTGAAATCATCCTTTAATACATTGAACACAGAAATATGATAAATATTGTTGTAGTCATAATAGTGCTATTTTGAAACGTAATATATTGATTTTGGTCTGTTGATCAACTTATTAAGGGAGTGGACACAGGATGTGAAAATAAGAATTATGTCACTTGAACGTGTGTTGTAAAGTTTTGTGGACTCTAATGACTTTGGGAAAATATTTGAATTAAAAAAAACCTGAACTATATATAGATTCATGGATAGGTTTGATAATCAAACATGTTCAATTTTGGACACATTTATTAATGTCAGAGCATATGTCAGTGTTTCTTGGCTTCCAATGTCCAATTACCGTAATCAGGTATTCTTAAAACTTTCGTTCATATAACATGAACAATTAAAAATCATAAAATACCAACCCCCTCAATAGATTGAGAAGTCTATAATGTTCAATATTAATTCGTCAGAAATAGTTTTACCCTCGCTACGCTCGCCAGTATTTATTAACTTATTGTATAAGAAATTACACCGCTTTCAAAAATTTTGGATCCCCACTGTGAGCTGTCTTCACAAAGTCAAGGTAGAAGTCAAAAGCTTTAGAACAGTTATTCTCCTGTAATACGTGGTTATCTACATCAGACACAGGTGACGTTGTTACTCAGAAAATCAGGCAATGAAAATTAAACATACGATCATCAACTTCTAGATCAAGTTTGCAGCACTATTTTGTGGTCAAACCTTTGTATAAAATCAAGGAATGTATCCTCGTTTTTAGTAAATTGTATACTTTAAAAAACCTTGTGGTATCATATCTCGAATAATTGTTAAAAAGTCATTTAATTGTAACTCTTTCGGTTTTGATTTGACCCTATTGTCAAAATGTTTAAGGTCTTCCAATTGATTGAGGAAGACCCTCTGTATACTAAAATAACTGTTAAATCGCAGTTAAAAATTTGTGTTCAAATATACCAACCAAGAAACATTGAACGTAATTTGGTAAATGCGTTTCACCTTATATAATACAGTTGTTTGTAGAACAAAAATGGGTTTATGAAAAGGCTGTCACAACAATATTATTCTTCAATGATAATATGTATGGAATAACAACAGATTACTTCATGATACATATCTACACAAATAAACAAATAAACAAACAGATATTTTTTGTTTTAATAATAATAGGTTTATCATATACTTTTGATAACTTACATGTTTGTAAATATTTACAATAATTATACCTTTTACATAATGTATGTTCTTTAATTTCTTATTAATGAAACATTTCGTTTTACCTGGTTCTGAGATCAGTTGAGATCAAGTCATCATTTTTTTCCGTCCTTTGCTCATTGTAAAGTCGAAAGCAGAAGAAGTATCTCCTGTAATTCGTGACTTTGGTACCAGGACTCTTTTCCCGAAGAAAAACTTACAAAAATTGATAGTAAAGTATACCAATCTGTTAAGAGCTGTGATCACAAAGATTGGTTGTGATACAGAATGAGAAGAAAAGGAAGATATTTCTACAGATGATTATATGAATATGAATTGTTTCCTGTCATAAACCGATTTACATACATGTACAAGCCAAAAGAATAAACTTTTTTCAAAAACCTGAAGCCAAACTGGATATATTATGTAAGGTGATCACATCACGGATAATGTATCTTAATTCATATGATAACACAAATAAACCAAAATATCGTAACATGCCATAAATTTTTAAATGAAAAGGTAATGGATAATACTTAAGTGTCTTTCGCAAAATATAAGAAAGATGACCATTTGCTGTTTGGCAGTTAAATTTGGTGTAAGTGTTGCATGAATTTGGAAAGTAAATAATCAAGAAGAACAAATGACAATTACAGAGTTTCGAATATAATTTTGTATTTTTAATATTGAAATTTTTAAATCATTTGATTAAAAATTGAACACAGGAACATGATAAATATTATTGTAGTCATAACAGTTCTATTTTGAAACGTAATATTGATGTTTGTCTATTTTTTCTATCCGAAATAGGAAGTGAAAATAGGATGTGAAAATAAGAATTGTCATTTGAACTTGCATTGTCAAGTTTTGTGTTTTCTAATGACTTTTTGAAAATATTGATATTAATAAGCATGAACTGTATATAAATATGTGAATACGTTTGATAATCAAACATGT